ACAAGGAGATTAGAGAAAGTTATGTTTATGAGAGCAAAGAAAAGAACAACTTATAAATTTTGACCTCATTCCTCTAAAATAAAAGTTTACAAATGAAGGCATTATTCATAAAAATAATGCTCGGTGGTGACAAGAATGATTTTTAGGTCCCTCAACAATGACACATCTCTGAAGGCAATCTGAGGGAGGAAAAGTTACATAAGAGATACACATCCTACTGAGGTTCCTACAGCAAGGCAAGGAATACAGCGGCTAAGGTATTTGCCTTGCACACAGTCAACCTGGGTTCGATTTCAGCATCCCAGTTGGTCCCCTAAGCCCACCAGGAGTGATCCCTGAGTGCAGAGCCAATAGTAAGCCCTGAGCACTGCCAGGTATAACGCCAAAGCTAAAAATTAAAAATAGTGTCTGATTGATAGCATAAACAAAAAGGAGAATTTCCTCAGCAGGTAATCGTGAACTCCACATACACTGATTGGTCATAGTTTTGTAATGCCAGGGAGGAAAACAGGACCCCGGACTATTCAGAGTTGCATATTGCAGTTTCTCTTCCGTCCTTCTTAGAATGGGTTCCAAGTTCTCTAAAAGGTGCAAATTAATTCCTTTCTGTAATTGAGGACTTATAGTTAATAATTAGTGAAACCATTTATTTTAATGTTTACCACACCCACTTCTAAAAGGCCCTGGGCAGTTTACATATTAACATACAGTTCAAAGGCACGCCATTATGTTTAAGTACTAAATAAAATAGACTCTAGAAAACATAAAGACTCTGATGCTATCTGGCACAGCCAGGTTCTGCCTTTAGTGAATATGCCCCACTACAGACTTAACATCCTCCCACACCCATTAGTGAAAAGTGCTTGTTCCGAACCTTTTCTCCTGCTCCCAGGGGCTTGATCCACAGAATCATCCCACAGAATCCACAGGGTAGTGGTGTGGGTAAGAGCATGGACTTTGGAGTGAGCTGTCTGGACCGAATCATTGCTATGTACCTTGAGCAAGTTATGAAATGTTTCAGGGCTTCCGTCTCCTTATGGGACGAATGGGGGAATAATAACAGTTTTAATCTCATCAGTGAGAATGAAATGAATTTAGCTTATGTGACACTAAGAACAGACCCTGGTGCACAGAAAGTGCTAAATCACTGTCAGCAGGGCCCATTCAACATCCCCCTGATTGCTTATGAGAAACTCTTCTTCCTAGCACAGTTGTGGCTTCCAGTTATGAATCGCTCCATCCCCTCTGTGGTTCTCATCATACCTAAAAAGTATCAGAGATTCAAGAACTGGCTTATGATTTTTCTCCTCTGCCCCCAATTGACCATAATCCTGATCACATCCATGTTCATGTGTGTGCCCCTTCTCACACCTCTTCAACACCAATGGCTGCCTTCTTAGATATGAACCACTCATCACTGCTCCTGTATGATGTGGAGTTATTCCACCTGTAAAAACTTAGGCCACCAGGGGCTGGAGTGATAGCACAGTGGGTAGGGCGTTTGCCTTGCACGTGGACGACCCAGGTTCGATTCCCAGCGTCCCATATGGTCCCCTGAGCACCACCAGGGATAATTCCTGAGTGCAGAGCCAGGAGTGACCCCTGTGCATCGCTGGGTATGACCCAAAAAGCAAAAACAAACACATAAACAAAAAAAAACAAACTTAGGCCACCAAAGTTCAACTTTCTTATCCAGATCTTGCTGCTCCTGTATCTGCGCTTTGCTGTCACAGTTGAGACTGAGGGGCCAGAGTGGTATATTACAGTGGGTAGGTCTTTTCCCTTGCATATGGCAGACCAGGGTAGATCTCTGGCATCCCATACGGTCCCTGAGCCCCAGAAGAAGTTAATTCCTGAACCAGGAGTAAACTCTGAGCATAGCTGGCTGTCGCACCAAAAACCAAAACAAACCAAAGGAAAAAAACCCTAAAATAAAACAAAATAAGAGTTAAGACTGAGATCCTAACCCTCCACTCCATGTGTGATATCTCTCTGCTTTGGCTTCCTGCTCCTTTGTGATTTTGGTTTCATGCATTCCACATCCCAAAAAGACTTTGAACTCTCGAATAAGCATCTTCAAGTTCTTATATTTCTCAGGCCATTTTTCGTCTGCAACACTTACCCAGGTGTGGGTAAATCCAGACTTCCTTACTCCCCAGTCGATACTAAGTCAGTCACTCCACCTTGGATAGCGCTCTTTACCTCACAGTCTCCACCCTCCCCTGAGCCCACAACACACAACCTGGCAAGTTCCTCTATGCCCCTCTCTGGTTCAGCATTTCTTTACAGACCCCTATTCTGCTATTCTGACATTTAACTGTCAAGTGCTCTCAAAAACATTCCGAAATATCTCTTCATTCCAAAAGTCCCTTTTCTGCTCTCATCTTCTCTACCCGCCTCTTTAGCCTTCCAAAAATATTTTCTTCTCTGCTACCAAAGGGATCTTTATGGTGTGCATATGTTTAACATCCTTCATCATCTTCCTCTTCCTTTAATCACACTAAAGCTAGATTCCAAAGCTCTTCACGACCACACTCCTATTCACCTATTTGGACTCATTCCCCAATTCTAACCTGCACCCAATACACTCAATTACTCAATGCCTTCACTGTACCATTCTTTCACATCCACGGGGATCTCCTAGGCTAACTCCTTGGTCAGGATTGCCTTCTCCCACCTTTCCTGTTGTGTTGAGGTTCTGCTCAAATGCCATTTCTTCTAGTTCTGGTACAAAGACCTCCTGACCCCTCCTCTCTGATCTTCCCTCTTCAGGAAGAGGCTGGCAGAGTGTCATTTTTATCTACGTGTGTGTGTTTCTCAGTTCTGGTGCTTAGCAGCAATTGGAACCCCACAACTGGCTAGTGAATAAGTCTGTGTGTCTCATTTCCATAAAGCAAACACTATAACAGCAGTTCATTTTACTTGTGCATTTGGAACAAAGATATTTAAACTGTGGAGAAGGGGCTTTCTTGGCACCTGTGTGACAGAGCAATTGATGCCTAATTAGCTGGTTGGCAGCCCAAGCTTTTAAGTCACTGTCTGAGCAATAGCAAGGACTTGATTGATAGTTATCAGTTACTGAGCATCCCAGGGAGCCTGACAGTTGATGAGGCATCTAGGACAATCTTCTAGCTTCCCTGCTGGCAGCAAAAGGGCTTCAGTATTGGAGGCATCACATGCCCATTCATCAACACCCAGGAGTCAGAGAAAGGTCTGCTTCCTGCTCCTGTTTCTTTGTTAAGAAAGCAAAAAAGCCCTTTTCCTGGACCTAACCCCTGTTGCCATCATCAGACATTATCTTCCAATTTAACTGGTAAAAGTTGGGTTGTATTCTCTTTCTGTCTTTCTGTTTTTATTTGGGGGGTGGGTGGGTGGTATGCACACTGAGCAGTGCATAGGGAAGACTTCTGGCTCTGTGCTATAGGATAACTCAAGGTAGGGCTCAGTGGACCATATGAGGGATCAAACCCCAGCCAGCTGCATGGAAGGCAGATGCCTTCCCCATGGACTCTCTCTGGCTTCAGCCTCCAGAGGTTATGTCCCTCTAAGAGGATCACAGGCACTAGGAATGGAGACATTATTTTGGCTTGAAGCAATTAGACTTTACTTGAGTCACCTAAGGGAACAGGACATGAAGACAAGATTAAAGTCTAATTAAGAATGAGAAGGGACGGAGCTACTGAGTAGGCAACCCGCAGCAGTCTCTGCTAAAAAGAGAGAGATAAGTAAATCAGACACATCCCAGATTTCCAACCTAACCATTTCCTAGCTGTCTTGTGCAACTCTCTTATCCTTCCTGAGACCCAGATTCTGTGTTAATAAAATAGGGATCCCACAACCTAATGTTTAGGATGACTACAAAAATTAAATAAGGTAACATATAATGCTACAATGACTATCCATTCCTTTTAAACCATGTTTTGAATACTTATCAAGTGCTAGGGATGTAATGAATGAGTGAATAAAACATAGATCTGGTCCCTCCATTCATGCTTATGAGCAATAAATGTTAGAACTTAAAACTTTCTAAGGCTGCTGGGGCTGGAGCAATAGCACAGAGGGGAGGGTGTTTGCCTTGCATGCGGCCGACCTGAGTTCGATTCCCAGCATCCCATATGGTCCCCTGAGTGCCGCCAGGAGTAATTCCTGAGTGCAGAGCCAGGAATAACCCCTGTGCATTGCCGGGTGTGACCGAAAAAGAAAAAAAAACCCTTAAAAAAACTTTCTAAGGCTGCTAAGAAATTCAGAAGACTTCAAACTTTTTTTTTCTTTTTTTTTTTTGTTTGGTTTTTGCTCTTTGGGTCACATCGGTTTTGCACAGGGATTACTCCTAGCTCTGCACTCAGGAATTAATTTTGGCGGTGCTCGGGGGACCATATGGGATGCTGGGAATCGAACCTGGGTCAGCCATGAGCAAGGCAAATGCCCTACCCACTGTGCTATTTCTCCAGCCCCACACTTTTTTTCTTATTGATGTATAATAGTTTACAATCATGCTGGTCACTGTTTCACACATGCAGGGCTCCTACACCAACTCCTCTCCCATTGTATCAGGCCCCCTCCACCATTTTCCCATAGCCCTTCTCCCTGCCCCCTTCACCTCCTCAGTTCCCAGTTCTGCTGACCATTTCTGAGGACTTATTTCAGCAGGGAACTGTCTAATCCCTTCTACTTCTTTATACTCTGCATATGAGTGAGATCATCTGACTGAGATGTTTTCCTTTCAGTCTGAGATCTTTCCTTTCAGACTCACTTCATTTCGGGATACTCTCCAGTTTCATCCAAGTTTCAGCAAACTGCAAGATTTCATTTACCTAGAGCCGACTAGTACTCCACTGTGTATATGTACCATAACTTCTTTATTTACGCATCTGTTGGGCACTTGGGTTGTTTCCACATCTTGGCTACCGTAAATAATGCTGCAATGAATGTAGAAAGGCATATTTCTTTTTAAGATTGTTTTTGTCCTCGGATCAGAGGCCCAAGAATGGAATCCCTGGGTGCTCGCTTCAGCAGCACGTATGCTAAAATTGGAACAATACAAAGAAGATGAGCACAGCCCCTGCTCAATGGTGACTCATAAATTTGTGAAGCATTCCATTTTTTTTTAATTTGAAAAATGAAATCACTGGGCCATGAAGAAGTTCTATTTGTAATATTTTTGAGAAGTCTTCAAATTGAGAATGCACATTTAATCAGATATGTATTTTCAGGAATACTATAGCAGCTGAAATTCTATATTTAATGTAGGAAGGTTTGGAAACACTTTTATTTTGGTTTATACCCATTAAATTTGAGAGCTTGTTTGGAGGTTCTAGCAGGGGAGTGCAGCTACTCGTATACCCTCGACCGAAGATGAAAGACCCACTGGTCCGTCTCTATTCGGGGTAGACCCTCCTCTTTGACCGAGCACGCAGCTTTGGGAGGGACACACATGGAGCGGTGAGGGAGGAAGGGGACACCCGCCTAGCCAGCCAGATCAGCTGAATCAACCCTGGCGATCAATGGGATGACAGATGTCGCAGCCAGATCACCCTCACATCCCATTACATTTAAATTGTCAGTGACTGGAAACATATTTTAAGAGTAAATGGTCACTGTGAATGCTAATGTATGCAAATGATTAACAAAATGCATTCTTTTGTGTGTGTGTGCCACACCCACTTATGTTCAGGGTTTATTCCTTCTCTGCATAGAGGAATTTCTCCTGGCAGTACTCAAGGGACCACATGGAATGCTGCTGAAAATGAATCTGGGTTGGCTGCATACAAGGCAAGAGCCCTACTGTGGCATGACCCCAAAATGCACCATTTCTTATTGTGAACAACTAAGATATTATCCAAATATAACTCTGTAACCCTGAGGGAAAAAATCCAAATGTAATAACATTGGTTCAGAACCAAGACAGATGCAACTCATGGGGGAAGTTCATCTTATAGGAGCAATCAGATTATTTGAGCCATTCATTTCCCATCCAAACCCATTCTCTTCAAACAATAAATACTAAACAAAGAACTTTATCAAGACTAACCTTTGCAAAAAAAGAAAAAGCACCGATAACATATCATAGCACTGTAGCACTCTCCTCCCGTTGTTCATCGATTTGCTCAAGCAGGCCCACAACAAATTGTGAGACTTGCATCATAACATATATGTTTCAAAATATGAAAAAGAGGTACCACTGTATCAAATTAGGGAGTCACTCTTACCTTCATCTACTTTTTGGAATACAGGAAGAAAAATGACTTTAGAACAGATGATTGAGAACAAACAAAAGAAAGGACAATAAACATTGGTTTACAAATTTGGGGAGCCTAGGAAAAGGGGAAGGTAGGATTTCCACACTTTATATCTCTGTTCATTAATATTCCCTGACCCATCTCTCTTGACTGATCACAAATCTGTTTCTTATTTGTATTCCTTTGATCCAACCAAGGACTACTGAGATTACATAATCAGAAAGTGTCAATGTACATGAAAACCAAGAGTTAGTCATTAAAAGTTGAAGTTGTTTGTATTGTTGTGTGTTTTTTAACCAGTATATTCCAACTTCCAGTCTCGTTGAGGACCAAGCAAATAACTCAAAGTAATCTGGAGATAAATAAGTATTAGGCATGGAGAGAGATAAATGGCTTTTGTGTAATCTAACATTTAAATTTAACAATAAACACAATTATGACAATCAGAAGGAAATCTTCTTATTCAATTTGGATAGACACTACTATACAATAAAACAAAAATTATCATAAGAAACACAGAAACAAGAAAAGATGAGTATCTGTGGATTTTAAATGAGAGGCTAAGAATGCTATCATTAAATTTCACAATAAGATAAAGTTTATGGCACCAAATATCCTGAGATGCATAGACATTTTAAATATTTTTATAATTAAATATAACAGCTATAGCAAGGAATTTTTATGTTCAGCTTGATAATTTATCAGAAAATAGAGGTTTAAAAGATCTAGAAATAGTAAAAACAACAGTAATATATAAACCACTGATGTCAGGAAATAGATTATGTCTGAACCTAAGACAATTCGGATCATTACTGCCCCCACAAAGATAATCAGTCTCCTAGTTTTTATGAAAGTTCTCTATTTGACTTTATTTTTTCCATCTAAAACTTCACCCTACATTGATTACCTTTCAAACTTTAAATAAATGAAATCACTGCATGTACAGCTTTGTTTTTTCACTATGTTCATTCAACAGTACATGCATGAAACTCACATGCTATAACCATATTATAACTACACATAATATAGCGATACCATATTCAGTTCCATACATTAAATATTAAATTAAAATATTAATTCTCACTATTGTATGATAAATAAATGACACACACACACACACACACTGTCCTCCTGTTGTTCATCAGTTTGCTCCAGTGGGCCCAGTAATGTCATCCATCCTACTCAGGATTTAACACTTTAACACTTTAAACAAAGAAGTTTTCATCTCTTACTCTCTATCTAGCCTCTTAATATAATGGACCAATGAGCTAAATTTTTCATTTGTTGTTTTGGGGCCACATTATAAATAAATGAATAAGTAAGTCACATGAGGCTATGTGTGCTCAGGCAATACAGCCAGGAAGGGACCTGGAGGTGGGAGGCAATGGTAGGGCAATTCCATAGTGGAGCCTGGAGCTTCTCTTTGAGAACAATGAGTGACCTTGGAGCTAAGAGCGGAAGTGAGAGCCGAACCAGAGGCTCAGGACTCTGGGAGAGGAGAAAGGGCAAAGACTTGAGGCGACCTGGAGAGGAAGCCAGGGAACCTGGGACCCGTGAGTGCCAAGGAGAAGGGCCGGAGGAGGAGGCGGGGCAGGGCAGAGTCTGCAAGACTGCTTTAAGGACTTAGGTTGGTAGTCTAGGTGAGGTCATAGATTCGGAACAAAGAAGTAACAGCATCTAGTTGAAGAATCTTTTTAAAAAATCACTCTTTTAAGGAGAAATGAGAATGGGAAGTAGCAGTAGGTTCTCCCCGCCTGTTAGCAGAGCACTGAAATAATTCAGGTCAGAGATGATGACTGCCTAAGGAGGCAACAATAGAAGCGAGAAGTGGTCAGTGTTTCTGGCATCCAGTGGTGCATAGGGGCTGCTTCCAGGGACCAAACCCAGGATCCCCACATGTAAAGCACATACTGCAACCTTCTGGGCCATCTATCTGCCCCAGCCATACTTCGAAGACAGGCACAAAACTATTACTGGTGGACTATATGGACACACAGTTAAAGGACAGTCAGGGGACACAGAGACTTGATTCAGTTATGATTCACTGGGAGGATAGGCAGCTGGTAGGATGCAGGGAGGTTTTTGCTTGGGACATTTTATGCCAGAGATGTTTGCCGACCATCTGAATGGTGCTGGGAAGTAGACCGCTGGCTTATGAGTAATAAGGGTCAAAGGAGGCCTAGAAGCTAGAGAAATAAACTTGAGGGCTATTAGTGTACAAGTGGTGTTTAACAGTTACAGATAGGAGGAGATATCGGGGGTAATGTAGCTAGTAGAGAGGTCCAAGGGCATGTTTTGAGGGCTGGCAATGTTTAGAAGTCAGTGAGAAAGAGCAAGATCCAGTGGGGGGATGGGGGCGGAGTTAAAGGTGGGCAGGGGGAGGGGGGAAGGGTAACAGTATCCGAGGCATGTATGGAATATGCTTGGATATGAAGAAAGGAGGAGTGAGCCATGGTGTCAAACCATGCTAAGGCACCAAGTAAGATGATGACAGTACTTGACAAAGGCAATCTGGAGGAATGATAGAGAGTGAAACCCCGCAAAACAATCTCCACGAAGAGGAAGAGGAAGAAACTAAAGACGTGCTCTTGAGAAGTCTTTTTTTAGCTTGATCTGAATTCAGACTAAGTGGATCTACGTGTTCCTGATTAAGCCACCACCAGTAAGGCCACTCTTATAATGCCTCAATTAAAATAAGCAAACATATACAAAATACGTCCTGGAACGCAAGAAATCTAACCAAACTTTACCTCCTCTCAGAACAGAACATACAGGAGTCAGAAATATCCCACGAATGGACAAGAATTTACTTACTTCCCATGAACAGAAATAACTGAAATAGGAATTGTGGGAGAAGAAGTAATAACCCACATGAAAAAAAGGCCACCACTCTGAAAGTTATGTGAAGCCAAAGAAGCCCCCTTGGTCCATAAATAGAATTTTCCCCCCTCCACTTTGAACATGAGTGGTTGGAAAAGTAAATGAGCTCAACCTTATGCTATTCCCTTAGAAAAGTCATTTATCTCAGGAGAACTTTTACCCCAGGACTCAGTTCACTCTAGGTCTGATTCATCCAGGATCAGCGCAGGGATTCTCAGATAAAGCAGCTCTCTGTTCCGACCCGTGGTAGAATTCTCCGAATTTCAGGAGAGTTCTTGAGGAGGCTGGAGTGGAGGAGAAGGGAGTATCTGATCCTTAGAACTGCCCTGCTCTCACTCTGATCCAGGAAACCATGCCAAGGAGAACAATAAAGGAAAGACTGGCTGGCATAGTGCCAGTGAACTTACACTGTTGGATGACCTCCAAGGGCTGCTGTCAGACCAGGTGCTAAAGGGGAAAAAAAACACAAGTTCCTTTTAACAATATAAGAGTTTGCCAAATCACTCCAATATAACCCCAGTACACTCCAGTATAATAAAAGATCGATTTTCTAATAAAATGGGCCATTAATGCTTCAGAAAATGGAGGCGAAAACAATAACAGAATCATAAGCAGGAATCAGTGAGGGGAGGAATACTTGGACAAATAGTTTTATGGAATAAAGTCCGGTTACTGTCACAACTGAGAAACAGAAAGAGATAAGGTGAAGCCATGTTTATGACATGAATTGAATCATTCTTGTAATTTAAATATTCCATCTGTTTATTGTGTGAAACTATTTTAACAATCCACACAAACTTTATTGCAGAAAAGCCCTTTTGTGGTTGTGTTTTTCGCCCCTCTCGGAGTTCCCGGAAAGCTACCAAGAGTATCTCGCTCGCATGGCAAAGCCTGGCAAGCTCCCCGTGACGTATTCAATATGCCAAATACAGTAACAACAAGTCTCAAAATGGAGACATTACTGGGCCTGCTCGAGCAAATCGATGAA